CCTACAGAGTGGATTACATTGCTGACAAAAATGGTTTCCAACCCCAAGGTGCTCATATCCCTGTCGCCTAAATGACTGTGATCATATACTATTTCTTGTTACTTGTTGACTAGTTTTAGTTGGTATTAAAAAAATATAGAAATTATGAATAAAAATTAGAATATATACTATATTTTCTTTAAAATTTGAAAAATTTAATGTATGTAGCTAATAGCAATCAATAACATGAGATCCGACCAACGATTCATTTTTGGCATTGCACGCTCTCTCTACACGTTATCTATTATCGCGAACTCAAGGCGTGAGTTTGCCTGATTTCTGTTTAACCTCTTTTCAGCTGTATTTTGAAACTACTATGGTAAAAGTGGCGCACCTGAAATCCGTCCCGTTTGCAGTATACTACTCGAATTTAAAGGTAAGATGTTGCCAAGGGTATGAAAATTTTAGGATAAACAAGTAAGAAAATTCTAAGTTCGGGTGTAACCGAACATTTTATACTCTCGCAACTGGCAGGGATCAAAGCCCAGAAAATTACGCCAGGTGTTGGCAAAATTTTATATTAAAGGAAGTATTGATCCGATTCAACCAATTTTTGACACAAAACTATAATATTATAGAGAGTTTCAATTATTTATTTTATTATATGAATTTCAATTATATATCTTACACACTGACCGATATTTTCGACACTACGCACTGGGGTCCACATATTCAGTACCTAGTGGCTTCAACAGCTTTGGTTCGATTTAGACCATTTTTGGTCACAAGGTGGCATACCTAAAATGCATTATTCACGCAAAATTTTACCCCGATATAATCATTGTTGCTTGATATGCATAGTGGAAAGTGAAAGAATCAGATGAAATTAAAAATGGTGTTATATGGGAAATAGGCGTGGTTGTATTCCGATTTCGCCCATTCATATTCGCGCTATAGCATAGAAATATGAGAAGGGTGTAATGCACTGAAGTTGGTGGAAATCGGTTAATAAGGTCCCAAGATATGGGTTTTCACCTAAAAGTTGGCGGTGCCATACCCACTGTCTAATTTTGAACGTGGTTCCTATAAAGTCATCTCATACCATCCCAGATATAAAATTTAATGTCTCTGGCGTGTATAGTGCTTGATTTATCGATATTTAGTAGTTTTTAACAGTACCGTTATATGGGGAGTGGGCGGACTTGCCACCCGATCTCACCTATTTTCACGCTGTCGATAGAAGTGCTAAAAATATTTCGTCTTTGTGAATTTTGTTATTATAGCTTTAGCGTTTTAGGATATATGCACATTAAACCTATTAGGGGGCGAGACCACGCCCTGTGTACCAAATAACAGTCTTGTATCTTATTGTGTTGCTTAGATGGCAATTTATTCGTTTTTGATTAATGGCGTTTTGTGGGCGTGGCAGTGGTCCGATTAGGCCCATCTGCAATACCAACCGTCTTACGGTACCAAGAAACATGAGTACCGAATCGCATACAGATGTCTCAATTTTTACTCAAGTTACAGCTTTCACGGACGGACGGACGGACGGACAGATGGACAGATAGTCTCCCGGACTTCAACTCGTCTCTTCATCCTGATTATTTATATATACATAACCCTATATCTAACTCGGTTAGTTTTACAAACAACCGTTAGGTGAACAAAACTATTATACCTACATTGTAGCAACAAGTTGCGAGAGTATAAAATTTAAGTACAGCATTTTTTACAAACATTGTTTTTTGTAAAAATTAGTAATATCAAATGAAAGAGGACATTTTCTCTCATAGTCGTAGCGAAATCGGTTCGGTCTGTTAAGAGAAAATAAATGTTTTGCACAATTATGCAAAAAAATATAAATAGCAAAAAACTTTCGAAATTTATCAAATTTCAAAAAACCGTCGAAGTTGTATTTTTTATTTATCGCTTAGAGCCAACAGTTGTTTGTCGTTCGAAAAAATATCGACGGTCGAAAAAACGCACGTACGCTTGGGAGATTTTGTCCCAATCCAATTCTACCGGCCCTAATGATAACTATGTGGTAAACTTGAAGGTTTTTATTTCAGACAAATTTATAGAAAATTTAAGCCGTGAATAGTATTTGTTTAGTTTTTTTTTAGTACAGCAATCTACTAATAAAAATGTACAATATTAAATATACAATATTTTAATCAATATTTACCGTAAAAGGCTAAAGTATGATTCTCGTTAAAGTTCTAAAAATATGTCATAAATATTAATTATTAAAATAGCATATTTCTTTTAAATATTTCCAAAATTTCCAATAATTAATTAGTTAAAGCTTTTGCTGTTTTATATGTGAGCTGCTGTATGTAATTTAATATTTCTTATATATAAAATCGGTGTTATGTTTATGAAGAAACAGAGGTATATGAATCTATATATAAGATATGCCAAATTAAAATGATTAATTCAGTAAATATGCTAATAAACAATTTTTGGACAAAAACCCATCTTCAATAACTGCTTGAGATGCATACAAAACAACGGCATATACTCGTGTGTATGTGTAGGTTAATGAACAAAAAATGTATTTTACTACCGCCACTAATATGACGACTTTATCTACAACAAGCACTTTGAACCGAGGATGACAAATATGGTTTTTGTTTACACATTTATGTGTAGATTAGTGTGTGCCTGCAAAACTAAGGCAAACAAGGCTGAATGCCGGAAACGGTCGCGTTCTTTTTAAAAACGACGAAGTGCCAGAGTATGTTTTAATCATCGAAATCGTAAAAACCTTGATATCTTCAAAACTTATTTATATAGTATGACATAATTCTGAAATCAAAAATTGTTTCAACTATTTAATCATTTAACTAAATTGAATATTTCTGTACCCTGCTTAGATATCTGGTATTATTTGATGTAAAAAATCCAAACGAATGAGATAATGTCTATATTAAATGTAATTTAATTTTTTCTACACTTCCATTACATCTCACTATATTAAGTTATTTTTAATTTTTTTCTAAGTGGTAGCATTAAGAATAATAATTTTGAATTATTTTCGACACAATTTATTTTACTTTTACTTAAAATAGTTTATTACTGTTGCCTACATTTCAGCGCCATGGTGTAATGAGGAACTTCCGTCTACAATATAACAAATAATTTGAATATTTTTAAACTCATAAAAATCAAATAAAAATTTGTGCAAAATATTAAACACCAAACATGCAATGAGTTGCTTTAATTTTCATACACAAATATACAGAAACGAAAAACCGTAGCTGAGTTGCATGCGCCATCAGCAATACACGCAGAATCTGTTGCGTTTTTTTTCCAAACAATTTGTGTGTGTGGTTGGGTTTAATGCGCGTTCGCCTCAGCTGATGAGTGTATTAATTATAGAAAAAATATAAAACTTGTCAGCTTATATAGTTTTCGGGCACCAGTAATTATACTTACTAGTTATTATTATTATTATTGAGATTTCTCCCCTCATCTATGCAAATACTACATTTTACACGGTTTACTATTAGTTTTTTTGTTTTTGTTATTTAGCTAAATAATAGTCTATTATAGTATAATTCTATCATTGTTTTGGCCTAGTCGTCGAAACGCTATAAATTGGTGTTGCGTACTTGGTCAGCAATCATAAGTCAACAACTTGGTCAAGCGTGTATACGGTCCGTGTAGTTTAGTGCGCAATAACATAATCTTTTGGAAATATCCCACAAATCGGTGTACTCGTGTATATATATATATTTATATATTAAAGCAACAATGAAAATCACTATTGTATTTGCCGCACTTTTCATTGCCGTCGTCGTAGCTGTGCCTATCGATGATCCATCGCAGGCGCAAATTTTGCGCTTGGATTCGGATGTGAAGCCTGATGGTTACTCGTTCGCGTAAGTGCTGGGCGAAAACGTGGACAAATGCCCAACGAAACACATGCAGCTAACTAACTATCGTTCTATACATTTTTCTTCTAGTTTGGAGACCAGTGATGGTAAGACTCATAATGAGGAAGGTCAATTGAAAAACATCGGCGCAGAGGATGAGACAATTGTTGTGCGCGGCTCATATTCGTTTGTCGCTGATGATGGTCAAACATATACCGTTAACTACATTGCCGATGAGAATGGCTTCCAGCCCGAAGGTGCTCACTTACCCAATGTGGGTATTCACTAAAACTCCTTTAAATCCTTAATGCATAACGGAAGATTTCATGGAATTGTTCACAGAATTAATAGCAAGAGAAATCCAAGAGTTATATATTTTTTGTACGGGTATTTTACATGTAGTCATATAAGAGAATATAAGTATTACAAAGTCAAACGCAACAGTATGAAATATACAAAAAAGCTAAAAAAATTATGGTTTTAATTTAATTTAGCAACAAAATCGAGTCAGTGAGATAGGTGATGGATATATTGATATACAGTTGTAGAAAATCGTCCGTAGTGATTTATATATAAAAATGTTTACTAACATACAATCTTCTAGCGGGTTTTCAAGAACGAGAAATCTTTTTTTATTTTTTTTACCGAAATTTTTTTATTTTTTATTTTTGTTGTTTGTCCGTAAGGTATAGTATACGGTCATATCGCATACAGGTTGTATTACATAGGTTATGTTGGTGCATGTTAATTTTAATATTTGGTATCTAAAAACTACAAATCAGTTGCAGCTCTGCTGATTTGATAAAATCCTTCAAGCTTTTGACTTGAGCCGTCAGTATTAAAACACAGTTTCTAAAGATACCTACATATTATATGCCTAAAAACTAGAAAAGTGAGGTTTATTGCATGGTGTTCATCAAATCACCGGAAGCTCTTATTTCCCGAAAATTTCAATAAACAAATAAGTATAATAGTTAATAGTGACAAGTGATAGAGATAACAATCCTCCACTGAAGTTAAGTATTGCTCTTCTTGCTACTTTCATGCTGCACTAATAGTCATATTTTTTTTCATTTACTTGAAATCTTGTCTACACTCATACTTTTACTCTCATTTAGTGCTCAAATAAATATGCTCTTATTGCATTTTTTACTACTGTCAAATGCTGATTTATTTAACTGCAATTATTGCTATAGAAAGAGAAAAAGTAATGAATTCAAGTTGATACGCTTTGCTTGAAAGATTAGTTCAATGCTGGATTGCAGGCAGTGGAGGGAGATGTTCGCCGGTCGGTTGGAAACCGTTTTCATCGGCGATGTAGCTAACAGAATATTGTTTACCGTCCTTTTCATCTTTATAACTAAAAGAGCCTTGTACGCTTATGGCTGCATGATCGGTGCCAGCATCCTTAACGACGCCCTCCTCGTGTCGGCTAGTGCCATCACTGGTCTCTAAACTAGATTTTTGAAATTAAATATAATATGTCTCGACAAAGCCATATGAGTATTTACTAACTTGAAGATATAATGATCGGGTTGCACATCAGATTCCGATTTGATGATTTCCACTTCAGGACGTGCTGAGACCAATACGAAAATGGCAACATACAAAATTACGACTTTCATTATAACGGATTACTTTCGAAAGTAAAATGGGTTACTTGTAAACTTGTCGAAAGTTTAGAACTTTTTGAATGCAATTAAAACTTCGCCGCTTTTATTTATACTCGACTTTGCTGCTACTGAAGTTCTTTAAGTAAGCGAGTGATTATAAAAGATGCAACTATATACCGATACTTAATATATATATTTGTTTGATTGTATATCAAGCTAATTGTGCTACAACTTAATTTTTGTTTACTTACACCGGAGTTTCAATTAATTTTAAATTTGTTGTTAATTAAATTGATACAAATGTTTCCAGATAAAAACAAAAATGTTTACTGTTCTGTCGAAAACCCGTTTTATCTTAGTATTTGCTGATATATTCAAATTTCTAAAAGATGTCACTTTATTTCATGCATGATGACAATAAATATTAGCGCATGACAACTTTTCTGGTAAAAAAGTCTTAAATGAAAACAGTTTTATTTCATTTTGATTTCTCCATTCTATCAAATAGAAAAAAGAAACACATATGTTATATCAATATTATGTGTATATGTTTATCATCTTAAATACCAGCGTACAGCAAAAAGTAAACCTTAAAGTTAAATTAATTGAGAGCGATCCGATAAGCACTTCGCGTGAGAGTTGTTGAAATGGAGAAATCCACGGGGGAAAAATAGAAAAAGAACAAAATCAGTCCGCTATTTTCTTCTTGTATTTGGAAAGCAAATCAGACAATGAAATAAGCGAGCCTTGGATGTTGCCCGCGATGACTCTTCTACTTTCAAGGACCCCATCAAAAATTGGCTTAACAGGTTTCAACGTGGTCGTACGTCGGCCAAAACCACTAAAATACTAAGCGATCTCGTATTGAAGGTTGCAAAGTCACTCCCTAGTCACAAACTTGGGTCGAACAAAGCGAACTTCTTTGCTCACCTCGAGAAAACGTAGAAGAATTTGTAGCATCACTGAGTCAAGTTTAATAAATCAAATGAAAATAAATAGCAATTTTTGCAAATTTTTTTTTGCTTTTCTTTTGCCGGCTAAATAGTTATCGTACGGTCCTCGTATATATACACATGCTGATACTTATCATATAACAAGTTCAAAGTAAGTATACGAGACAAACTCATTTTAAATGGAAGATGGTTAACCAATTTCAACTCTGATATGGAAAGGTATTGTAAAAATCTATATATTTGTTACAACAATCAAATAAACGAAAGATCTCATAATTTCCTCTGTCAATTAAAAAGTATATTTCTAGCGTCCTATGCGACAATCTTTCAGCATACCCCTCTCACATCAGCCATTAGACACATTCCCAGTTTCATAAGTAGATGAATAAGAAAAGCTAACGTACTTTTAGAGCGAACAAATCTTAAAAAACTCTTCATGCTTGCGTCGAGAAAAAAAGTTACTATTTCGGGTGGTTGGCACGCTGAACGTATTGCTGGTTCCTTATTCGTTAGAACTAAAGCAAAGTTGTCATGTATGGTGAGTAATATAGGTTTATAATTCGTAGTGATCATCACTTTATTGAACCAAACCTTTTGTTATCAACCATATCAATATATGAGCATAATTCTTGACTACTCAGGAAATGTAAATTGACTCCATTAGACTTAATTTTGTGGATATATTATATATCACCTTTATAATATATGCTGTTAAATCAACTACAACAAACCAAAGAAAAACTAACATCTGGTGTGTGGTGAAAAATTTAACCAAGGAAATTGTCTTCAGAAGACGCAGTCTCAATTTGTTCAATTTATTAGGATGTGTTCCCAACGAAGTCCTTCGAAAAATGAGAACAAAAATAAGAGTGTCGGCTAGTTCGTTGCGACCGCTAAAACGCCCGGACTGTAGTCCCATGTGAGTGGAAGCCGTGGAAGATATCCTGTCTCAACCTCCTTAAGGTTGTCGATTGACAAATGTAATGTTTCATGCCGATTGCTATGTCACCACTTAACATTTCGAACGGTTCGGACCTGCTAGATTGTAAGGCATATCCATGCTTAAGATGCCGCTCTCTTCCCCAAGCAAAATTATAAAATTAAAAAGTTTTCTATTTTCAAAAATTGCATTCAATTTATTAACAGTATAAAAAACGCTACATTAGAATAAAGATTTAGTTCGTCACGTCAATATTTTAAGCAACTGGGGGTACGGGCAAATGAGCACCTGAAGGTTGGAAACCGTTCTCGTTAGCAACGTAGGTGACGGTGAATTTCTCACCAGTCTTCTCATCAACCCATGAGTAGCTGCCGGTAACATCGATAGCCTCGTTTTCACTGCCAACGTTCTTCAATGTGCCAGCTTCGCTCTTTTGTGTACCATCACTGGTCTGGACGTCGAATGAGTAGCTCTCGGGTCCAACATCGGAATCTTGTCTGACGATCTCAATCTCAGGACGAGCGAAGGCAACGGCCAAAAGGCAAGCGAAGATGATAGCGGCTTTCATGTTGATTAGTTTGTTTTGTGCTGGAGCTATGTTGCTGCGATAAACGTTGTCAACTTAGTGGATAACTTTCTCAACTTATCCAAGCATTTTATATTATTCCAGATGCACAAATTTCTTTAATCAGCATTCACAAAATTTTATATATTTTTTTAATTTTTTGCAAAGCTAAATCTGGTTTTAATTATGAACCCGTTATATTGAGCAGATTGTATCGATGGGATTGCATAAGCTGCCTATTAATATGCAGTCCACCAAACTAATGCAAATTTGATACCAGAACCGCTCATATTTCCAGTTTAATTCTCAGATTTTATAATGGCTTCTTTTAATGTGTTCTCGCATCATTCTTTTGAATTGTTAAAATTGTCTAAATATAAAATTATTTACCGTTTGTTCTAAACATTTTTATGCAAACTCGTTTCAATTGCTATAAAAAATTAGCGTATTTCACTGGGCCATATACTTATATACAACCGGCTATAACATTTATATCGCAGGAACATTTTTCAAAATGGTTTGTGAGAAATTTTTAAAAATTATTATATATTTTTAATATGTGATTTTTTCCATATTAAATTTCTTCCAATTCTTGTTATTCCAATATAATTATCAAGCATGCGGAATCCACATGTTTTGTCCTTAAATCTAACCTCCAAAAGACACGTGCATAAATTTCATGACTTTTCGGCAATGCATTCGTTAGGTAGTTTTCGAGTGAAGCGGCATTTGGCATTTGAAAAAAAAAATTTCAAAAGATATTTCTTCTATTAAATATTGTATATTCGTAGAGAAAAACAAGCAATTGATAAAAAGGTGGTTTCATGAACATTAACCGGGCTCTGCAACAAGCGTACAGGTCATGTAATCACCGAAGACTGTAAAACCAATGAACGTCCCAAATATGCACAAAATTATTTTCGATTACCGTAAACTGAAGTTGATATCAGTATGTGCTGAACCTATCCTTCATAGCCACACGGGCTAATAATAGATTAAAAACGATTACGAATATATGATTCTGAGTAGAATTTGAAACTGTACAATCGTAATAAATTCGAATATACGCACGAAACTGTCTAAACTAAGGGAAGAACTTCTTCAACAATTTGAACCGACTTTGTGCATAACATTACATTTACATCACTATATTCCAGTTAGGAAATGGATGGTGAGAAATCGCACTACAACCGCAAATACGCAACATATTAATATGTAAGATATCTTAATGAATTTAACTGCTTATGCTTGGTTTTTTAGCATATATAATATACGTTTTTTAGTCAATTGTATATATGCATATTAGTCAATATGTACAAAGATTTTATACACATATTCATTTAGCATCATAAATCAGTGAAATCGCTTCATGAATTACCCCAGCCTCAGAATACTTAATATAGTGATTTCCGGCCTTCTGGTTGACTTTATATCGTATGGTTATCATTCAATTGGTCTAGCCTTCATATACACACATTTCCCTTACAGTCATACAGCCAATATAATTATATCCGTAATAGGTGACTTAGTCAGTATGTTGATATGTTCGCCTTTTTCTCATATACCCAATACACTAGACTTCTTCGTATTGGTTGAGTTTTTTGGATATATCGGTATCAGCGGAAGACATCTACCATAAATAAAATAAGGCGAGAACTTTTCAATTAGCGTTACTTCCGTCCTATGTTTCTTACAAATTGTGATAGTTAATAATGAGCCGTTTTGACTTGTTATGCTCTGAACAGGATATATTCAGTTTATTCAGAAGGAAACGTAATCAGCGTGACAAGCTGACTCGATTTAGCTATGCAGTCTGTCTGTCTGTATATATGCAAATTATTCCCTCAAGTTTTGAATTACCGATCTGAAATCACGTACACGTTCTTTTCTCTTCAAGAAGCTGCTAATTTTTCGAAACCGCTGATATCGGACCACTACGAGCACTGCACGAGCATATAGCGGCCATACAAACTGTCCGATCAAAATAAATTCTTGTCCAAAGCAACACTTTTTCCATATTGAGTAACTTTAATTCGACTTAGAAGTTGTTTATATCAAACAACGGGGCTAGAATGAACTATAAAAACGTTTTTCGCTGTTTTCAAACCTTTGACCGATTACGTTTTCGGATTTAGCTATACATATAGGTACATAGCTGCTATACAAATGCATCTGTTAAGGGCATAATAGCTTCGGGGCAGCCGAAGTTAATGGTTTTTTTACTTTTATTATAAAAATGTAATAACTACGAATTACGTTTTATTCAAGTAAAATCAATTCAATTACACAAAATTTTCATATCTTTAGCTCTGTTTATATATTTCAATGTACTTTTTCATAAAAAAACTAACATACAATATATCTTTAATAAAATTATCACCAACACCTGTCTGCTCCGAAAACTGGGGCTGATGCTAGAATTTCATAGTTACATACTTTCGAATTATATTTTTTATTTATTTGTCACATATATTTTCTAAAAAATAATTTGACACAGATCGTGATGAACTAGACCTTAATTATATAGGTCACTTAATTTTACTTAAAATAAACAATAATTTTCATTTAAACAGTTCGTATTCATCACGTAATTCATTTCACATAGTAAATCAGAAGGCGTTTTCATTTTCTTCAAGTGGTGGCAGTAAGAGATCTTCACCGGCAGCATACCTCTCATCCACAGGGCCTTGCGATCTAAAACCTGTCCCGAACTCTAAATAATCTGGTCTTGATTCGTAATTGAGTTGTGCCAAAACCATACCCAGGAAGCAGAAAAATACGAATATAATTTTCATGTTAGCTTTTAATTTGATTATTCGTTTCTCCGGCTTTTATGTGTTCTTACAATACACGTTGCTGGCTCAGTGTAGAACTCATTAAAACCCTTCTGCTATTTTATACTACTCTAAGAGTTATGTATTTTGTTAATTTTTTTTTGACATTTGCAACCGGCACTTCCTACCTCGGTCTGCAACTACTTTTATATTCTCGAAACATGTTGCTACAGAGTATAATAGATTTGTTTACCTAACGGTTGTTTGTATTACCTAAAACTAAGCGAGTTAGATATAGGGTTATACAAGTAATTGATCAAGATGAAGAGACGAGTTGAAATCCGAGTCTGTCCGTCCATCTGTGCAAGCTGTAACTTGAGTAAAAATTGAGATATCTTTATGAAACTTTCTTTCTTGGTACCGTAAGAGGGTTGGTATTACAGATGAGCGTAATCGGCCCACTGCTACGCCCACAAAATGCCATTAATCAAAAACGAATAAATTGCCATCTAAGCAACACAATAAGATACAAGGCTGTTATTTGGTACACAGGGCGTGGTCTCGCCTCCTAATAGGTTTAATGTGCATATCTCCTAAAACGCTAAAGCTATAATAACAAAATTCACAAAGACGAAATATTTTTAGCAGCACTAGGTAAGTGATGACTTAATAGGAACCCCGTTCAAAATTAGACAGTGACTTTTAGGTGAAAGCACATATCTCGGGATCAGATTTCAACCAAATTTGGTGCATAACATTCCAATCATATTTCTATGTTATAGTGTGAAAATGGGCGGAAATTAATTCCATCTGATCCTTTCACTTTCCACTATGCAAATCAAGCAACAATGATTGTATCGAAGCAAAACTTTGCGTGAATAATGCGTTTAAAGTATGCCATATTGTGACCAAAAATTGTCTAAATCGAACCGAAACTGTTAAAGCGCCTAGGTACTGAATATGTGGAAATTGAAATTTATATAATAAAATAAATAAATGAAACTCTCGATAATAGTATGTATTTTTGTCAAAAATGGGTGGAATTGGATCAATATTTCCTTTAATATAAAAATTTGCCAACACCTGACATAATTTAACGGGGTTTGATCCTTGCAAGTTGCGAGAGTATAAAATATTCGGTTACACCCGAACTTAGAACTTTCTTACTTGTTATATATATATATATACATATCCAAATATATATCCGTATAATAAAATTTACTAATAGTTCCAGTTTTACTTTAATTTCGTTTTATATATTATTCAAAATAAGTAAGCTGGTTTTGTTTATATGTATATATCTACTTATACACTGTATATGTGGTTGATCATTTTAAAAGCTTGCTAACTAACAAAATTTAATAAGTTTTTCAGTTTTTTTTTAAATAAATACAATATTTTTCTTAATACACAAAATACCAGCATAGTTATGTACTCTGGTCTGAAATGGAGAAGGACGTAAAGAACAAACACTAAATTTCATTTATGTTTCATTATCCATAAGCTCTATCAGATGCACAATAATGAAATAAAATAATGAAAATTTAATAGTAAATAATTAACATTCCTAACCGTCATCTTTCTAATACCAGAAACTCTCGCTCTTCTGTAGAATGTTTCTCACCGATTTCACAAAGTCCAAGATTTTTTCCTACTATGATATGGTATGATAAGTTTTCGCATAAACTCATATTAAGTTGAAACTATTAGTTTTTGGAATAATTGTCCAACTTCATTTAAGATATAACCACATTTTGCGACGCGATACGAAAACTGGTCTAAACTGTGCTGCCGCCAGCCTTCGCACAGTTTTGTTGACGCATATCGCTCTATATGCAGCTAAACAGAGAGACCTATCAAAATATAATTAAAGCTGTAATGTTTGTTAGTGCGGTATGCGAAAAAAGTCACATCGGGTTGCTTAGTTCCGTTATAACAACGACCCTCTTAGGATTGTCTTGCCTTTGGCACTCTTTTTCCATTTGAGCGTGTGTATTTCCGTCTGCTGGATCATACAAACCTATACTACTTATATACTGGACATGGAAGAATTTCGGGTACGCTACGATCTCAGCAAAAAAAGGTAGCACTACTCTTTAAGATTCTTCCTTAGTTATGAATTAGATTAAAACCTGATAACTATTTAAATTTATCACTAAATGACATCACCTATTCATAGCATTGCATTACTTTTCTAGTGCATTCTTTATTCTATGCTTTTACAAGTATATATTCTATATTCTGAGAGCTTGAGCAATTCTTTCAAATGCAATACGAGTTAAATCTATATACATATATATAGGTATATATCCTTTCTAAATATAATATATGTAGAATGAAAAACCATATTTCAAATATTGCAATTAATTTATTTTCAATTAAAAAACATTAACAAAACCCCAATTTCCTTTGATCACAAATTTAGACAACTGGAGCAACTGGCAAATGAGCACCTTGTGGTTGGAAACCGTTCTCATCAGCAATATAGGTAAGGGTGAATTTCTCACCAGTCTTCTCATCTACCCACGAGTAGGAACCTTTTACGGCGATGGATTCGTGATCTGAACCAACATTTTGCAAGACACCGGATGAAGCGTGTTGGGTTCCATCACTTGTTTCAACTTCGAAATTGTAGCTTTCTGGCAGAACATCAGAATCCTGACGAACGATGGAGACCTCTGGGCGAGCGAAGGCAACAGCCAAAAGGCAGGCGAAGATGATGGCGGCTTTCATGTTGACTAGTTTTTTTGTGGTGGAGCTGTGTTGCTACGGTAAAAGTTGTCAAATTTGTGGATACTTTTACTCAGTCGCTGTGCCATTTTATATTATTTCCGATGTTCATATGTTTATTTCCACAATTGTTGTCAAATCTGGTTTTAGCGGTCATCAAAATCTGAAGTGTGATATAAGTTAGTATCACAAGAAGTAATATAGAATATTTCCAGTTAGCTTAGCTAATATTTTTTTAAATATATGCAAACATATTTACAGTTTCAAATGCAAATGCATGTATATGAAATGCGTTTACGCAAATGATATAGAACATGAGGTTATTGTTACATTTTTTCTGCAAACTACCACTCGGTGGTAGCTATAATTGTAATCATATTGACCAGTTAATGCGCTTAAGATATTTTAAATATATGTATGTTAATTTCAAACCAATTTTTGATTAACCATTATGTAATGTGAGTGTACTGAGAATAAATCGAAAGGGAGAGACGAAAATATTCAAGTTTCTTAAGGCGTAAGTATTGAAAGCTTTTTGTGAACTGTTTTCTGTTTTATTAGAGTATTCTTTCTTTGGTTTATTAGAATACTTATTTAACGTAATTTAATATAGTGCTTCATATAGAAGAAGATTATGACACATTAATGGCTTTCGGCTTATGATCATATTGGATTTTAACATTTTGACTAGACGAAGTGTGAACCCAACCTTATAAAGATGTCAGAGTTAGGTTATACTTGATGAAATATCGAAATTCTACTTCAGCATTTTTAATTTTATTTATTGTAATTTACTCTATATTCCTGATTAATCAAGAACATCGGTTATAGCCAATACATATATAATAATCAGTTCAGTGTTTACTTTCACGTATTAACAAAGGAATGGGGAGCTAAAGAAAAGCGTACGAGATTACAATGATTGCATTTGTGTGGAAAATCGCAAGTGAAATTTATTAGCTAATCAATATCTTCATGTTTAGAAAAAGTTTTTTTAACCGTACTATTGGTCGTTTATTCTAAGCGTCTACCGTTTATGACAGAAAAAGAAGTGGTTGTTGTTTTTATTGTAGCAGCAGAAAACTTTCCTGAAGTAATTTGAAGAAATGATGACGAATTGACAGTCTACGGAACGGAAAGAAAAACGCTCACCTTTATTTGAGATGATTACCATATGAACGCCTACGGTCTGTCAACTGGTCACTTTCTGAAAACGCGCTTGAAGCAAATTAGGCTCCACAGATGTAAGCCCAAAAATTATCCTTCTTACAAATCACTGCTGAAAAAGTTTTCAATCAGCAAATCCAAAAAATCTACGCAGATAGTTCCAAAGACGTAATAAATTTATTCCAAGGGTTCGATGTGGTCATTATACAGCTGCTCTAGCGGTTTGGTTGGGGTCTCCTGTAAAAGCTTACACCTCTTCACTTCTATAAAAAAGGGGTTAAAACTGAGGCAACAGTCTACTAGCAGGATGTTTTCAAAGGCGTAATAAAGTACATAGTTGAGCAATACTCTTTTAAAATGAGAGCATTGAATCTCCCAGCACGATTCTGCTAGAGCACACCAGGCAAAATACACCAAGAACTGGCCTAAAAGCAATATTCCTGGTTCCTTAGGTGCAGGTAATTGGCCGTCTGTAAGTCAGAATTTAATCTATCAAACTACAGTTTGTGGTCAGAATTTAAGAATATGGCCTGTCAAACATCATACATAAATTTGGAGAGTCACAAAAGATCTTTAATTCAACCAGCGTTATCAATACCAATGGAAACTATGACGGTCGGAACTTGTAACAGAACTTATGCCAGAACTAAGCAGGTCATTTTATTTATAAGAAAATGGTAGCCAGTCAATTACCGAGTTTTATTTCCTTTGTTGAAAAATGTATATTAGTTTAAAGTTAATCTCATAATTTTTAAGATAAGGTTTTGTGATTAACATAGGTACCAACGAAGAGGATATGCCGATTATAATGATTGTCGAACTTTCTAATATCATATTTAATGTTCGACCTGTCATTTGCCTCAAAACAGGGCCCAAGTCTCAACGTTTACCTCAACATAGTCGGCAATTTTCTCCGAAAGTATAGCTGCATCTGGTTGTGGAAGGGATTTTACAAGTTTGTCATCGTTTTGTACAATAACACGCTGAATCGATCGAAGGTTCCCGCGGCACCCATAGAGTTTTTCATACCAAATATATTGAAGTTACAATTATACAAAATATCAAAAGCACTGTTTCGCAAAATCATTATCTGTTCAACAGCTGTGAAAATCATACACGTGGCTTTTGAAGATTAGGAACTTCAAAACATATGAATTTAATTATAGTGGCGCCCTTTCATAGAGACAACTTTCAGACTGCTTGTTTGTTCCATTTTTGTTTCTCATTCTTTAAATATATAACCAGATGCATTATTGATTATTCATACCTAACAAATTATTTGTTCGATGTAAAAAACCATTTATCATACATCAAAATACATCTGCCTAACAGTTAAAAAAGGTTTAAAATCCGAGTCTAGATGTAACCGAAAATGAAATTTTAATATAATTTTATGTTGTACAATAATGAAATATATTTCATCATTCAAGACATCTCTTACTAAAGAATATAAGTAAAAGCGCCCCTTAGACTTTCAATATTTAACCATGTCATTTTTATAACTGTTTGCATACCTTAAAAATTCGTATACCTAATGACAGTTAAATTAATTAATACAGATTTCAATGACGTAGAGAAGAAATTATAAATGCAAAGTCAAGTTCAGCTGTAATACAAGTAGATATTTGCATCTACATGGACATATATATGTACATATAATGTATGAAATATTCAAGCCTGCACAAAATGTATTATATTGAGCAGCTAAAAAGTTAGAAAAGATAGCAGTACTTTTTGAACAAATTTTTCTCAAGAAAGCCATAAATTTGTAGTTTTGGTACCGCGAATTAGCAGTTAACCCTTTTCAAATATATAAACATTGGTATGTATGTACATAAGTATAAGCACTGCAGTATATAGGTAAGACTCGTTTTTCACTTTGCTATCTTAGCAACTAAAATTTGCTGAAAATTACGAAAGTGAGTTTGTTTAGGCATTGTTTTGGGTTTGCTTGTTTAGCCAGCTTGATAATAATGTCATACAGGAATATTTCTAGTCAATATAAGTATATATGTGTGTATACAGACAAGAATCAAACCGGTCATCATAAAATGAGATTTGAGAATTTTAAGCTAAATATATTGTTATATACGAGTATATGTATATATAGTATATTTTGAAATTAAAATAGCAGCAACTGAAGAGCTCTGCATACTTATATGCCTACATATATGCAAATATGTGCGCGTATCTCATTTATTCCTGACAAACAAGTAAATGAAAGTGTTTCTATTCTTATAACCCATGAATTATGCAAGAGAACCGGCGAAAATCAGTATAGAAGAATTCGTATATTAGCTAATTCAATATCAAAAACTTGATAGCAATTAAGTTGGCATATGTGTAGATATATGCATAAGAGCGTTTATGTGATGAGCTAAAGTGGCTATCAAGAACTTGTCTTCTAATTAGCAACATGCTCGCTCAAGTTTGAACAAGAAGCTGCCACCAAAAACAATGATATAAAAAATATACTGAATTTTTGCCAGACCTGTATGTCTATTGCATAGAAATGCGAAAAGTTTAGCAAAATTTAATTACCTAACATAAATATGCATTAGCTAAGCACTGCAGCAGGTTTGGAACATGCTCTTAGCGTATATTTAAGATATGCTATTCTAGCGCTAAAGCGTAATATTCGGCGCTTATCTAATACTAACTAAAATTGTTATAGCACTGCATGCATTTAGCTAAAAGTCAAATACTACAAACAACAAATTATGTATCAAATGTACTTTATTTATTTTAATTTTAGCAATAAAATGCATGTATGTATGTATGCAATTCAGTTTTTGGCAATTTCGAGTTATCACTACTGCCCGAAATCGTAAGGTAAACTTAAAATATTCAGATTCAGATATTCATTTTAGATAAACAGGAAACGAATCACCCATACAAGTGCATACTTCCACAAATATGGAGTGAAAATAGTACACTACATTGCTGAAAATTGCTCGCGGGCGTGCATATAAAATGACATGGAACACATGCAATGACATCTAATAAGTTTTCTACCCACAACGGAAGAACAACACACCAAATCAAAACAAACATGAAAGCTGTATTCATCTTCGCTTGTGTTTTGGCTGTTGCCTTCGCTCGCCCCAACCCTGAAGCCGAGATTGTCCGTTCAGAATCCGATGTCGGTCCTGAATCCTACAAATACAACCTTGAGACCAGTGATGGTACAAAGAAGCAAGAAGCTGGACAATTGAAGAACATTGGTAGTGAAAACGAGGCTATCGCCGTTAGCGGCAGTTTCTCGTGGGTGGATGAGAAGACTGGTGAGAAATTCACCGTCACCTATGTTGCTGATGAGAACGGTTTCCAACCACAAGGTGCTCATTTGCCAGTTGCCCCAGAAGCTTAAGTGAATCGATTTGCTTAAATTCAAGATCGAATTAGACTAATAAATAAAAAAAATTGGTTGGCTTCCGCCAACGAAAAGCTAGAAGAAAGTGTTGTTTGAATTGTTAGGTTATGTTAGAACTACTGGCCAAAAAATTTAAGGTCAGATGTTCTATATATTTGCAAAGGAAAATATAATCATAGTACAGTTGTATAAAGCACAACTATGGAAAAGACAACGAACAAAAAAGCTTAAATAGTTCTTCGATTTCCGCAAGTCAGAATGGATGCTATAGCAATGGAGTTTACATATAATTTTGAAAATATTGAACAAGTAACATATATTTAATTAATTCTTGAGTAATATAGAAAATAGTAAAATAAACAAAGTTAAAGCAAGAAACTATAAAACACAGATATAAGAAAAATGTCTAAAGAAGGTGTCTGCAGGATCTTTCGAGGAAATTTTATATTCGACTCTTTCGAGGATGTAGAGATAGAGTGGATGGCTGACGACTTTAATGATGTAGAGGTAAATGAGAAAAATTCTTAGGTAATAAAATTTTTAGAAGTTAAAACATAACTACAGAGAACTTAGATACACATACATTTAAATAATATATTCGTATATATATAAAAAATCATACAACAAACACAATTGAGCGTGTTGAAATTTGTATGTACATATATAATACATATTTTAGCAGATGTACCACATTCCCTTTATTCATATGAGCATAGACAAATTTAGCGCACTAAAAAGAGCATCATCAAAATTATAATCGTATAAAAGTATCAATGATCCCTACGCACTATATGCCAAACATACCTACGTACGTCTAAGCCTATGCTACTAACACTTGCACACACACACACACGTATATTCATAATGATACACAATTTACTTACGCCGGTTCGTCTAGTTAATTAGCATATAAACAACAAAAATATATGGAGACCAAGCAAGTTTAAGAATTAATAAAATTCATTTGATAGTTTTATTTTATGAATTCGGCAAACATAATGTGTCGCCGCATTGCGTATAAAAGCAAAGAATTAGCCTACAGATTACAACACTCAGTAGTCTGATTCCGTCATTTGCACAACCAGCAAAAACCAAACAAAAATTAACATGAAATTCGTTATTGTTTTCGTCGCCCTCTTCGCTTTGGCCTACGCTGCTCCAGCTGCTCCTGAAGCCGAAATCGTCGAATTGAGATCTGATGTCGAGCCGGAGAAATATAGCTACGCGTAAGTTCTTAATACTGTGACAAAAAAATCCTTAACTGCGAGCGATCGCATAGAGAATCAAATGGATTGCACCAGCTACATAAAAGTATTAAAAATATAACCTCTTTTCGTTTGTGTTTTATAGCTTGAAGACCAGCGATGGTACATCAAAGGACGAAGAAGGTCACTTGGTCAATATTGGTGCTGAGGATGAACACATTGTTGCCCGTGGTTCTTACTCTTTCGTCGCTGATGACGGTCAAACCTACACCGTCACCTATGTTGCCGATGAGAATGGTTTCCAACCACAAGGTGCTCATTTGCCCGTAGCCCCTGAGGCTTAAGTTTTATTCTCATTAGTTGAGTTTGATTGGTGAAAGTGTTATTAGATTATAAGTAAAACGAAGTTGAATAAATGATTAATGAAAAAAAAAATAACTTCTTTTCAATTCGTGGTTGCAAGGTTTATACGATTTTTACATAATCCGTTTAGGAAACAAATAATTTTTTTATAAATTTTATATGCATCAGCCCAAAAATTTAATTATCGAGAATGCACCGCAAATATTGAATTAAAACACAGCAAATAATTATCTCTAATAAATGGCAACTCTGCTCCAGAAGTCAGTGGTATCGATAGTGATCTTACTCTAGCTTTCTTATAACAAGCAAACATTATAACAATAAGGACGGGCTAAGTTCGGGTGTAACCGAACATTTTATACTCTTGCAACTTGCAGGAATCAAATGCCTTCAGGTGCTAGTAAAACTTCATACTAAAAATGTTGCGAAAGAATTAGGCATTTATTTGAAGAAAGCGTCAAAAAAATTAAAATCAAATTGAAGGACATTCAATTAGATTTAATTACATTGATTTTATTTTAGTTCGCGTTAGCTAAAATTAAAGGCATTTTTGTGCAAAGTTGTATCCTGATACATTCATTGGTGCTTGATTTGCATACACCCATCATCCCATGTTGACCACGGCTCTTATAAAGTCCTCTCATACCATTTCGGGGTAAAATTTTAATGTCTCTGGCGTATTTAATTAATAATTTATCGCGCTTTAAGTATTTTTTAATAGTACTGTTATATGGCGAGTAGGTGTGGCTATCATCAGATTTCATCCATTTGTACAGTATTGGTAGAAGTGCTTAAGGGATTTATCCTGAGCGAGTTTGGTTATTTTAGCCTAAATGATTTGAGAGATACATTGAACTTTTAAGAGGGCGGAGCCACGCCCGATTTTCCAAATTTTTATCCCACACATTAATGGCATTTTGTGGGCGTGGCAGTGGTCGGATTACGCCCATCCACGAACTCGTCCTATTTTTTTTGCGATGAAATTTTTACTCAAGTTATCGCTTGCACAGACACACAGTCGGACAAACAGACAGTCACTCGGATTTCAACTTGACTCATCGCCTTGATGAACTTGATTTATATATACTATATACATATAACCCTGTATCTAACTCGGTTATTTTTAGGTGATACAAACAACCCTTAGGGGAACAAAACTATTTTATTCTGTAGCAACATGTTGCAAGAGTATAAAAAGTTAAGGCTTCTCTAAAACTTATACTCCAACCAACATTCACGATAAAATTGCGGACAATGTAGGACCGAAATTAACTTTCATCGCTTCTCTCATCTCGCAACAGCCTGCATATGTATAATATAATAGTTTTTTCACATACTGAAATTTTGTGACACCCAAAACTAATCGAGATAGATGTAGTTATATATCCAAATAGTGGAGCATTAATTGTTCAAAATTGGGAAAAGTGAGGTTGACCCCGAAAGATTTAATTCACATACGTACATACAAGGTGCGTTCCAAAGTAAAAAAAGTAACAAAGTAAACTCTAGTGGCGCCATCTATATGTCGACGAGTGCGTTAGAATCTGCTATCCATTATCGACTTCCAGTGACATTTCATCAATTGGAAGTGAAGTTATTGCGTTTTAAGTGTCAGTATGTTTTTGTCATCGGTGCGAAAATGAGCTTCGAACAAAGAGCCAACATTAAATTTTGTTTTAAAATTTGTAAAACTTTTACCGAAACGTTTCAATTGATGAAACAAGTTTATGATGATTGCCTATCCCGTAGCAGAGTGCACGAGTGGTTTCAACATTTTCGAAGTGATCGTGAGGACATAAATGACGATGAACATGTGGGCCAACCAAAATCCGTGATCACCGAAAATTCCATCGAAATTGTGCGTGAATTCATAAAAAATCAGCCGAAATCATCATTGAAATTCATGGAAATAGACTTGAACATCTCCAAAACATCGATTTATCGCATTTTGACCGAACATTTTGGCTAACAAAAGGTGTGTGCCCGGTTTGTTCCGCACAAATTCACTGATGACCAAAACTTGCCGTCTCATCGGTCGACGCTTGCGGCCGATTATTTGACCAAAAATCACATTTTAACAATCAACCACTCCCCGTATTCTCCTGATATAGCACCGTGCGACTTCTACCTTTTCGGAAAAGTGGATTTGCCGATGAAAGGCAAGCGTTATGCAGACGTGGAGGCCATTCAAAAGGCTTGCACCGGCATACTGGCGGCCATACTGGGCAACGAGCTAAAACACTCGTTCGACATGCTTTTGGACCGTGCAAAAAGCTGTATTAAAGCAGAAGGAGACTGTTTTGAATAAAATTAATTGATTTTGCCGATAACACCATTTGTTCTGTCTTTTTTTTTTTAAGTCCTGTTTACTTTGGAATGCACCTTGTATATCTTTGAACGAAACTTCTATCCTGCATTCCATGACGAAGTATGAAAATTAATTTAATTAGATAATATCCACGCCCATGCCACGTACATAATTTTTTTGTTAACTGCAAAAAGAGCGATAACCCTCAAACGATTTTTGCTAACTAAAACAGATAGAGTATCTTATATGTCTTGAAACTTAACTAAAATACAAGTAAGGAAGGGCTAAGTTCGGATGTAACCGAACATTTTATACTCTCGCAAAGTCAAATGGTATACTCGTTTGAGATTTCTTTGTGGATTGACTGATATTTTCGGTAGAAGGTCAACTATAGGCACTGGGGTCCACTTATTTAGTACCTCGTGGCTTCAACAGCTTTGGTTCGATTTAGACCATTTTTGGTCACAAGGTGGCATACCTAAAATGCATTATTCACGCAAAATTTTACCCCGATATAATCATTGTTGCTTGATATGCATAGTGGAAAGTGAAAGAATCAGATGGAATTTAAAATGGTGTTATATGGGAAGTAGGCGTGGTTGTAGTCCAATTTCGCACTATGACATAGAAACATGAAAATAACGTTATGCACCGAATTTGGTTGAAATCGGTTAAGCAGATCTCAAGATATGGGTTTTCACCTAAAAGTGGGCTGTGCCACGCCCACTGTCTAATTTTGAACGCGGTTCCTATAAAGTCATCTTATACCATCTCAGAGATAAAATTTAATGTCTCTGGCGTGTTTAGTGCTTGATTTATCGCGCTTTTAGTAGTTTTTAACAGTACCGTTATATGGGGAGTGGGCGGAGTTGCCACCCGATTTCAACTATTTTCACACCGTCAATAGAAGTGCTAATAACATTTGCTTCCAGTGAATTTTGTTATTATGGCATTAGCGGTTTAGGAGATATGCACATTAAACCTATTAGAGGCGGGACCACGCCCACTTTTTAAAAAAAAATTTTAACTGCAGATGCCCCTCCCTAATGTGATCCTGTGTACCAAATAATAGTCTTGTATCTTATTGCGGAGCTTAGTTATGGCAAGTTATTTGTTTTTGATTAATGGCGTTTTGTGGGCGTGGCAGTGGTCCGATTACGCCCATCTGCAATACCAACCGTCTCACGGTATCATGAAACATGTCTACCAAGTTTCACAAAGATATCTCAATTTTTACTCAAGTTAGAGCTTGCACGGACGGACGGACGGACGGACAGACGGACAGACGGACGGACAGACGGACGGACGGACAGACAGTCACCCGGATTTCAACTCGTCTCTTCATCCTGATCATTTATATATATATAACCCTATATCTAACTCGATTAATTTTAGGTGATACAAACAACCGTTAGGTGAACAAAACTATTATACTCTGTAGCAACAGGTTGCGAGAGTATAACAATATGTCCCAATCGATTTAAAATCCACAGATACCTATAGTTCACCTTCTACATAAAATATCAAAATAAAAAAAATATATATATAACGCTTTTCGAATATTTGGTTGAGTTTATACCAAAAATATTGATCAATATGTAAGATATCTTAACTAACGTGATATGTACCTGTGATCTTGGCTATACTTTCGTTTGATGCTAAAACAAAAGAACCCACGAAAAACGAAGGAGTTTTGTTTGTACGAATATAGAAATCTTCACAATCCTGACGTCGCGACTAATGTATTTTTCTTTCAAATGCCCTCCGTAAAAAGTAACGGAACGGAACTTTCGAAACTGAATAAATCTCATTTCATTATTATTGGTTCAGAATTGGAAAGCTGGTTGATTTTGCTATCGTGCTTAATGACAACAATATTCTTCCTCTACATAATTTGAAACTTCACTGAGAACGTCTGAAAAATAAGACAATAAATTTTAAATAATATTCTGACAAAACAAAAATTAAATGCATTCATATGCATATGTATATCTTTAATAAAATAGTGTACGAAGACACTGTTGGCTTCAATATTCATATTTAGGACTACAGTTAGACAAAAATATTTTATTTTTTTATTTTATATATATATATACTATTTAACTGTTTGAACGTGTTTCTTAACAAACCATTACCGGCATACGCCTCAGCATTCAACGCCTTTAAACACTACAAATTACATAGCCTTGCAAAGCCATGAAGGCGTGAATTATGATTTCACAAAGTAAACAGTATTTAGCGCTGCAATCTGAACATAGTAACACAAATTCCGATTTGGAAGAGCTTTTGATTATTTTTGGGATTGTTTTTTTTTTTTTTTTGATATTGTTATAAAAGAAAAGATGAAAAATAGACTTCTTTCAAAACTCACATCAAAAAGAACAACAAATAAAGCGTTATCTGTAAAGAGTAAAAAATCTGCTGGCTGAAGAAGATTTAACTAACTTAAACTTGTTTACAGTACAAAAGCTGCAACGCTGAGGCAACCAATCCAACAGACCGTAAAGCGTCAAAGGTAAACATGACAAGAGTCAATGAAAACCCGCGTAAACATACAAAAAACATGGTAAGAAAAAAAATTAAATACGTTATTAATTTGAACTCAACAAAACCTAGGAAATAGATTCGTTAAAACCGATTGAGAAGATAAATTTCAAATTATTATTTAGTAATTGTATAAATAGCATGCCAGCGAATGTGAATATGTCATTCAATCACCATCAGTTGATAAAGCACAGCATAGCTATACAAAATAAATCAAAATGAAATTCGTCATTGTGTTCGTTGCCCTCTTCGCCGTGGCATTGGCTGCTCCTCCAGCACAGCAAGTTGAAATAGTACGTCAGGACTCCGATGTCCAACCCGACGGTTACCGCTTCGGTTATGAGACCAGTGATGGCTCCAAGCACGAAGAACAGGGTCAGCTGAACAATATCGGCACAGATGAGGAATCCATTTCCGTCAGAGGTTCATACAGTTTTGTTGCCGACGATGGCCAAGTCTACACTGTCAACTACATTGCCGATGAAAATGGTTTCCAACCACAAGGTGCTCATTTGCCTGTTGCTTAAATAGACAACTAGAAGTCAACGCGTCGAAGGATTTTTTGTTTGTACATTATTTGTGAGAGTATTATTGAGAGATAAAATTCAATAAAATACGCTTTATTATATTTTTTATACAAAAAAAGTGGATTTTAAATAATCTGGAGATCATTTTCCCCGAACTATGTAAATACTATATTATTATATGGCCTAGAGTTTAGACTCTAAACAACTCTATACTAACGCGCTTTCTGAATTGGATTAAGAAAACTATAGTCCTACAACGAATCGGTATATCGGTCAAATACTCTTCTGTAATACAATTCATTCTTGACGACGAAAAATAGCACTTTATAAATTATTCATCATATCTATTCTTCTAACATGAAGAGACACTCAGTTTATTAAGTTCATAAATGTTTCAATCATCATGTTCTAATCTAACCAATATACAATTTTCAAATCATATATAAAAGTAGAATTCGATACAGCAACACAAAGTAATACTGTTTATTGATGGGCTTACGGTTTTCAAGGTTGTTGCAGATAATAACATTTGAATCCCAAAAATAATAACTGAAACCTAGCCGACCAACTGTTGAGTTTTCGGGCACTTTGAAAAAGTCGCCTGAGTTTTAATGGCAACAATCATTCAGCGAACTGTCGACTGGACTCAGATGAGTAATGATATATCCATGTTGAACCATTGAAGATGCTGAGGCAGATTTTCCGTAACACTTATTAAGCTATTGCTTTGCATCAACGGTGACTATTCCAATCAGAAAAAATGGCTTATCAAAATACGATGAGATCCACTTTTTCAGTGTCATAAAACTTTGACAGCCTCTATAGTTCAGAGGAGAACAAACAAATTAACTACAGAGCCACACGACAACAACATCAATAAAAATTACAACAATATTGCTCTCGGGATATTATAACAATATTTCGTTTCAAAACTGTATTTCTACTAAAATAAGTGAATGCGAGCCAGTGAATGAATGACGACAGATTTTTGTCTTATAAATTTCGTGTGAGCAACCCCCACTGCTTATTGTTCTTCAAAAATGCCGTATTTGTTGTTAATGGTGTTGTTAGAAGTCAAAGTGAGCCAAGTGACTCACAAGAGTAGAATTACACATATTTCGGGCTTTCATGACCTTTGGCAAAATATTAGTAATTATATTTGTATCTAGTTATTTAAAAACCAAAACATATATATTGAATTGTTCAACAATCAAAACGTTTTTTTATTTATATCTTAACAAACAACAGATCACATCCAATTATGGTGCAATAACTTATGCTTCAGGGGCAACGGGCAAATGAGCACCTTGTGGTTGGAAACCGTTCTCATCGGCAACATAGGTGACGGTGTAGGTTTGACCATCATCAGCGACGAAAGAGTAAGAACCACGGGCAACAATGTGTTCATCCTCAGCGCCAACATTGACCAAATGACCTTCTTCGTCCTTTGATGTACCATCGCTGGTCTTCAAGCTATAAAACACAAACGAAAAAAAGTTATTTTCTTAAACTTTATGTGAATGTAGTTCAATCAACTTAATTCTATATAAATTAACTTGCAAATAAGGACTTTTTCACAGTATTAATGACTCACGCGTAGCTATATTTCTCGGGCTCAACATCGGATCTCAATTCGACGATTTCGGCTTGAGGAGCAGCTGGGGCAGCATAGGCCAAAGCGAAGAGGGCGACGAAAACAATAACGAATTTCATGATGATTTGGTGTTTTTGAATTTTGTGCTGGTTGTGCAGATTGCGAGATCAGACGACTAACTGTTGATCTTCAAAATTTCCAAGATGTTTTTATATAAAAGTTTTATAAAAACAAATGAATAACCAACAAAGGGCAAACGCGCATATATTTATTTAGTAATTCTTTAACACGCGTTACTTTTTGATGATGGTCTGGTGCGGAAAAAATAGTGTGAAACAAGTTTAGCTGGAATTAAAAAAAATTAGCATCAGCAACTTTATGCAAATATGTTTTGTCTAAAATTAGCAAAAGCCTACCAATGTAAATGAGTGGCGTTTAATGTGCAAATGGGAAAAGAAAACGGAGAAAGAAGAATACGAAGCGTAGTGTGAGAGAATTTAATAGTAGAATTAATTTATATTTATATCGCTAATAAGTTATGAATTTCAATAATGACATTAATTTGAAAATTGGCCACATTTATACACGCATTTACCAATGTTTTGACGTCATTTCTAGTGCGTAGCTTTGGCAAACCGACGTCACTTAATTGATACAGCTAGTAATTCAATGCAAATTCAAAGTGGTAGACCATGCTGTCAATGTTTAGATACTACTATATGCTTTACAAACCATTAGTGTATAGTACTTACGCCTCAATCTTGGTCTGACTTATAATTATATGGATCATCAATCAATTTATCAAAATTGCAAGAGAATATTGAGCGCCTAACACATTTTATTAGGAGCGCTAACATAGATTAGGTTAGGTTAGCCCAGAAAGCCGGTTCATTTTAATACTTAAAACTCCTATGTATTGATCAAAAAGACCCATATAATTCAACAAACCGCTTTGAACGTATCATAAATTTGAGCGCTGACATAGGTTAGGTTGGATTAGGTTAGAATCGAGGACAGGTAGTGTTATAAACTTCAGCAAGGATCTTGAGAAAAAATACCTCCATAACTCAACCAATAATTTTAGTGCTGACTTAATCTAAAAGAAAATGTATTCAAAATTATAAAATAGTTTTATAACATACTGTCTGCCAAAAATTCACCGCAGCGTGCCCATTACATACGCCAACTGTAACGTTGTTAGAGGACACCTCACTGTTTGGAACAAACAACTTCTACTTTCAGCAGAGAAGTAATTACAGATAACACACTCCAAAGATCTCTCAGAAACATTGTAAAGTGGAATCAGCAGAATGCAAAGCATTTGCAGAAAATTCTGTGACGCTGGGAAATAACTTTTGCGAATTTTCAATATTCAGCCGATTGATTCGGGATAGAGTTTACGGCGCCCATTATTTAAAATAGAAATTTCAAGGAATCCATAAAGTTGTTAAATGGTGTTTAGTTGAGTATATAATAACACAATTTTATGTATTCCTGTACCATTTATACTATATTCTCGGTAGATGACGTGAGTTTTTAAAAACCGAACACTGATTTTGAGAGTGATGATTTTGTAAGTGGGAAGGAAAATTAGAATCCAAATGAGATGTTTAGAGCTCATTCTTAAAATTAGCATATAACAAGTGTTATAACTGTAAAACAATCATGACCAAAAAATGTGAAATGCTGCTGGCACGAAAAACTTAGTGGTGTACTAGATGTATATGTACATCCAAGTAAATTCATTTGCTTTTTAAATAGTTGAACACTAATTCAAAAGATATTTACAGGGATTTTCAACTCGCAATTACAATAAAAAATGCGTTCATCAATTATTTTTCAGTGGATTTTAAACCAAACTAATTTACAGTGACTTTTTAAAACAACGTTTTTGAAAATCAAATTGAAAATGCAGTTATTATTCCAACACGAGTCCCTAATATATCGTTTGAAAAGCATTATCTTCATCCATAACATATTTATGTTTACAATGATTATTATTGGTTCATAGTATTATTAAGCACGAAGTAACGAATAATAATTCAAAAAATATATATTTGTTTGTTGTTTGTGAAATGCACAAAATCATGAACAACATGATACGAAACTTTTCGATTCCAGAGTAGGCGGTCAAACTGCATATCTTCCTTTTTTTAATTTGCCAGTGGTACATCTGTGGAAAGAATTAAGTGTTGAGATTTTTAATGTATTTCATGGGTATTTTTCGGTTTCCATTCCACAGAAAATTATACATAATTAACATTACTTTTTGAAGCGAGATATAGTATATTAGCGTATGTACATGTGTATTTTAATCACAAAGGACTTTCACAATAGAATTTAAAAATTTTCAATTTTACCAAATGTTTTAATATTTCCAAACAATTAGATGCTAAACATGAATTTTCTTTTTTTTTCTGTGCAAATGAAATACATATTTAATAAACCAATATTTTTTGATAATTCATTCGAAAATCAAAGTTTAAATAATATTTGCGGAGAATTCTGACAAAAATATGTATACACGCTGATATTTGATACCAAATACCCTCTCTTTCTTAAAAAAAAACCTATAATAAATCTCTTTAAATAAAAGTTACGAACATGCCTATAATTTACTACAAATCTGCTTTCACAAATAACCCACTCTTTGCGCAATGTATTTCTGCGGGATTCTTAATGGTAGTTCGAAGTTTTGATTGTCAGCTGTTCAGTAGTCCATAAACTTTCAGTGTTGCCAAGTTAAACCACGAGTCATGGCCTCTCTCAACAAACAAAGAGAAGAGCTTCAGATCATATTATCCACGCACAAAGTATCAATCAGTCTAACCAACATAATACAAGTCTCCGTCCTCTGGTTCTCATATTTATATATACGAAAATATTTAAAATATAACTGGATAATGCTTTAACAGTTCAAGCACAACCGTACTATTAATTATATAATTATTGCTATATGAACTGAGAAAGCATTTAAAATTTAATATGAGTCGACCCCCATTAATTTACATTGTTCAGCACAACAACTCCACGAAGACTGTATGTCAGGAATAATATCTAAGAAACATATTCGATTTTTAAGTAATTTTGTTTTTATTCAACATCTTTTCACACTTAAACGCTAATAACAGTCCAAAGAAATACACTTCGCTAAAAGAAGTTGACTTATGCCTCAGGGGCAACGGGCAAATGAGCACCTTGTGGTTGGAAACCGTTCTCATCGGCGATGTAGGTGACGGTGTAGGTTTGACCGTCATCAGCGACGAAAGAGTAAGAACCACGGGCAACAATGTGTTCATCTTCAGCACCAACATTGACCAAATGACCTTCTTCGTCCTTTGATGTACCATCGCTGGTCTTCAAGCTATAAACACCAACGAAAAGAGGTTATATTTTTAATACTTGGTTGTAGCTGGTGCAATCCATTTGATTCTCTATGCGATCTCTCGCAGTTAAGGATTTTTGTCACAGTATTAAGAACTTACGCGAAGCTGTATTTCTCGGGGTCGACATCGGATCTCAATTCGACGATTTCGGCTTCAGGAGCAGCTGGAGCAGCATAGGCGAGAGCGAAGAGGGCGACGAAAACAATAACGAATTTCATGGTGATAGTTTGTTGTTTGCTGGTTGTGCAGACTACTGAATCAGATAACTGTGTGATGATCGGTTAAGATTGGGCAGTTGCTTTTATACACGATTCTACAATTTATTTCACTTTAACAAAAACAATACAAAATGTTAATCTAATTTTAATTTATTCTAAACTAGATTTTGCACTTTTGGGCTAAATATGTTCTGCTCAATCATTGCATAAGATGTGTATAAATGTATGCATGTCTTCTTAAATAAAATTAACATAAAATATGCTGGCGTGGTTTTTGACTAAAAAGGCATATTGAAACCAGTTTTGTTTTTTTAAATTTAAATATAAAAAACTTCGTTTTAAGTGACAAAACTATGCACATACACGTGCAATCTAACGTTAGCATTTGCAAATTTAATTTTTACGGTTTGTCATTTTATCCGCTGGTCATCGAACTGTAGAACTTATGCATTTGTTGACGTCACAGCCTTTAAGGAAATTATTATTAGAAGTTAGAAAAAATAAAGTAAATTTTTGTGCGTATTGAACTTTCACTAATATCTTCGAGTTTGCTTACGACGAGCTTACACTATAACTGTGAAGAAAATAAAGTAGCCTTACGAAAATAAAGTCCTAAAATATGAAAGAACTACTCTGTATGCTATTAAAAGGTCCATGCAACTAATATAATATTTTAAAGATTGAAAAAAAATGCTCAAAAAGTTTAAAAAGCTTGATTGTGAGTAAAAAAAACTCAAAAGACTCTCAAAGGCATTTTCTCCCCTTTTTTTAAGCTGCCGTGAACTTTTACTAACCCCTTTTCTTAGTATCACAGAGAAAAGTGTATACGATTTCCTTTTTTTAGACCCTCAGAGTTTTATCGTGTTTTTTTTTAAAGAAAATAAAGTGGCCTTTAGAAGCGAAAGTCTCGAAATATGCGGCAACTACTCTGTACTTTATTTAAAAGTTCATTGAAACTAATAAAACATTTCAAACTGATTCAGCAATGGAAAAGAAAAAGCTTATAAAGCTCGATTGAAAGAAAAAAGGTCAAAGGCATTTTTTTTATCTTTTTTGAGGTGCAGTGAACATTTACTAAGAACTTTGCTTAGTACTACATAGAAAAATGTGTACGTTCTTTCATTTTTAGACCATAAACGTATGTTCAGTGCAATGAACACGCTGACTGGGACCAATTTTGAAACGTATTACTAATCGTTCTACAAAAAAGCATCGATTTATATATTTGTAGTAACTAATATAATCAGTGTGTAACTGAAAAAGCTTCAAAGAGAGAGATTACTACACAAAACCAATTTTACATACCTTTGAAATTATTTCTCTCTTTCAAAATTTGTAAGCATTCCTCTCACTCCTATTTCACTTACTCTAAAGTTTTTCACTGGCGGTATGAGTTTTATCTTTCGTTTTCACATTAAACTTGTATTAGCTGGTTCCGTTTATTTTCGATGTAATTAGTAACATTATTTTTTAAAGTTATCATTCGTATATATTATATTTTCTTTTATTTATTTTGCTAGTTGTTCAGAAATTAACACCTTTGCCAAATTTTTGACCGCTAGTTCATATAAAAAGCTGAATTGAGCTGCATTTTAACAGTCACGAAATAGCTTAACATTTGACAATTGAAAGTTTAGATAATCAGCTGAGCACAAGAAACAAAAAGATGAAATTCACTATCCTTTGCGCATTCGTTGTACTTTTGGTTGCTCAAGCCACGATTACGACAGCCACACCAGTCGAGAAACAGGTGGAAATTGTACGTCAGAATATCAATGTTGCGCCAGAAAGCTACAAATTCGGTTTCGAGACAAGCGATGGCACACAACATGATGAGGAGGGTGAGCTGAAAAATGTTGGAACTGACGATGAGGCAATCGCTGTGAAGGGCTCCTACAAATATGTAGGCGACGACGGTATCACCTATCACGTGAGCTACACAGCCGATGAGAATGGCTATCAGCCAGTGGGCGAACATTTGCCGAAAGTTTAAATGCATAATTTTGGTTGAGTGCGTTTGCTTGTTAGTGTTTAAATGAGCACCGTTGTTAAAAGGCAAAATTTATTTTTATATGTGTCATTTGTTACTATTGTTGCTGAGCACACAAAACAAAATGCAAAAAAAAACTTAAAAAAAAAAATGTTTTGAAATAAAAGTCATGTTTTTGACACTGACTGAGACCGTTACAATTTTTGTATTTATTTATTTAAAAAGTTTTTCACACACACATTACATCTTCTACAACTTGTACATATTTACAACTTCTCCATCCAGCAAGAGTTTCATTCATAAGTCGCATATGAATGCACAACTTTACTGTTTTATTTATTAATGAGTTTTACTATGATTTCGTTCCGTGAGTTATACCTTAATGTGGATGCTGTGACATCAGTTTACTTCGGTATATGTGCACCCTCGGGTTGGTAGCCGTTTTCATCGGCCACAAAGTTAATGGTATAGGTTATTCCATCGGGTCCCACCCAGGAAACGCTGCCGCGCACAGAAAGTGATTCGTTTTCAGTGCCGGCATTGTTGAGAACAGCCTCTTCGGTGCGAGTTGTGCCATCACTCAGTTTGAAGCTAAATTTGAAGACGGGAGTATTAATGTAATTTGAGTAATATTAATATATTATTTGTATATAGGGTGATTCTTTATTTATAACTTGTCAAGTTTGCATGGCAGCTATATGCTATAGTGATCCATCTGAACAATGTGTTAGCAAATTGTGGCGTTGCTTTAGATAATAATCTGTTCCAACTTTCGTAAAGATATCTTATTATAAAAAAGTTTTCCAAACAAGGACTTGACTTTGATCAGTCAGTTTATGCTATAGTAAACCGATCTGAACAATATATTCGCAATACAAAGTATTGATTTTGCTCGCTCAGTTTTTATGGCGGCTATATGCTATAGTGGCCCGACATCGACGCTCCCGACAAATGAGCACCTTTTTGAGGAGAAAAGGACGTGTGCAAATTTTAGATTGATATCTAGTAAACTGAATCGGTATATTTTATGCAACGTTTTTTTCTATTGAGGGTATAATTAATTAATAAATAATGAAGTATGATTCCTAAACAAAGAGCGATTATCAATTTCTTGATAGGAGTCTGCATAGTGTAACCTTAATACCTTCCATCAGGGACGGTGTTATTTACAATAATTGGCTTAAAAGGGCATGAAAATAGTCCTCCACTATTCCTAGACTATTCTTAATTCTTTTGAACTCAATTTTATGTAATATTTACAATTGCTTATTCAAACTGTTCAGGCACTTCTGGACAAGTGTTTAGTGAAAACGATCTAAATCGCTAATAGATCGAACAGTACAAAGTCCTACTCCTTTTCTTTAATATCTAAGTTAATTATTAATACTTCTGAGATGCTCTTTGTTTGTTATCTAGTTAAATTCACATTATACTGTCGTCCAAACTTAGGCAAATGAAAAACTAATGCAAGACCGATACATGATTTAGTAATCCTGGTACTTTTTGAACCGACCTTACTAAAAGATCTGGTATACTTGAAGAATGGGATAGTTCTCTTCTAAAGGAAGAAATTCCATAATACGAGTTTAAGTATCCTTTCATTTTCAAGAAGGTTTCACAATTCCCATACCCCAACTCTCATTTGTGTTAAAACTCGTAAATATGGCTAAACTTACCTGAACTTATAACCATTTAAGCCTATATTATCTACCTCCTGTTCTAAGATCTCGACAGGAGCTTGTGGTGCAGCCAAACTGTAACCGAGCAGGCATAAAACACTCAAGACTAGCATCTATTTGAGGAGAAGAAAAAAAGGCGCACATTAACAATAGCTGTAACCAGTTGCTCAAGGCAATCTTTGTCCTTGCAATTATATTTATGTCCTTCACTAGCACTTTCACTTACCAATTTCATATTGGCAAAAAAATAAGTAAAACTTATAACACGAAACAAAAATGTCACGGATAGTGTTAAGCGATTGCGTGCGAATTTTTGTATTCGAAACTTTTTAGCGCTACCGATTTAATGCGGTAATTGCACGTCTTGCTCGCTCGAAGGTAGACAAGAATAATTTTTGCAGTGCACTGCAAATGCATTTTATAGTCTTGACTGATCAATGCACGCCATGGCACGCGTCAACGTATCCGCCACAGCCACCATTTAGAATCAGCAAATATCATACGAGCTTACCTACAAGGCAGTGCAAGAAAGAAGAAGCGCCAACATTTTCATTTACATTTACATTAGCTAGCTTAGCAACAACAAATGCAACAGGCGCTAAATGCATAAAAAATGCAACGACCAAAACTGACTTGACGTACCATTGCAAATTGGCAATCGCAAATAGTGTAGCCAACACACTGTGGTCCACAGCGGCGTCATGCCATAATGCTGAATGCAAGCGCGGAACAGAGCACATGCACACAGTCATACGCCGTGGTGTCCACTTTGCGCACATAGCAACTGCTGCAACGTCTAATTTGCAAAACAGCAACAGCAATTGCTGCAGCGACGACGACTGTGACAGCATGGCATGGCAGCAGTCTAACTTGTTTGCACGCTTAATTTTATTTATTGCCAATACAAGCAGGCTCGCGGGTGGGACGCTCTTGCACAACAATACTCATACTCATGCTCATATGTAAATGCTTGTACTTAGTTCACTATTAATAACTAATCGTTGGCTTGCGCTGATTTACGCAAATAATGTAGAAATTTTTACTATCGCTGCATTGTCATAATTTTTCGGAATGACCGGCGATACCAAAGATGTGGCAGCGTGAAGACATGCGCCTGCGCAATACAAGTTTCGCGGCAGTTTTCTGCAATTCTAATATACTTGTATGTATCTCAGTGGCAACAACAACAAACAAAGTTGCATTGGTAATCGTTTACAGCAAAACTTTTTTTTATAGTCAAAGACGCACTAACGCAATGTTAAGCACTCGCCAGTGGCCTTCAGCAATTTATTATTGAATTGGTTTTCATTTAAAGAAACGCGTTAGAGAAGTCAGCAGTTTAGATAAATGAACAAATTGAAAAATAAGCAGAATGATGGGTATGCGTGAACTGAATTCTTTATTTTACTTTATTTATACCCTGTTTGGTAGTTGGCGAATGTGTAAAATTTTAAAAAAAATCCTATACCAGCGAGGTAGAAAAAGTTAAGTTCAAGTTCAAGCAAACATTAGGTATTCATAAAAATGCATCCCTCATTAAATTATGGACCAATTGCGATCACTGGCTATTTGCCAGATATTAATAGATTAAATCAAGATCATATAATATCATCAAATAGGTAGATCAAAAATATCAATATGTAGACGGTTTCAAAGTATCTACAAATGAAAGTGTCTGGATCAGCTTTGCTTTTTAGTTGCCGACTAGCGATTTTTACAATATTTTCAAAAAAGATTAGTCCAAGTGCCACCCTGGAATAACAGCACATGGACAAAAACTGAATATTTAAAAAGTGAATCTTATTTTTAAAAAAAATTAATACTAGCTGAAATACGAAATCAGTGCATGAGAAAGGTTTTAAAACTAACACGGACAACTATTTTATTAATACGATATACTTGTATTGAAATATTCTTGAGATATGTACAGCATACGAAGTTTAAAACAATTTATTTTAGCTTAAACTTTCAACGACACGTTTAAAGCCTGCGTACGACTGCCAATGCTGACTTAACTAAACTGCCTGCAAAATTGCCAAAAATGAGGTTATTAAATATTTACAATACTCACTCGGTGTGTTAGAGCTGCAAGTAATTACAAATAATTGTTGTGCGGCAGTTATGTTTGGGGTATAAAACACCAAAAACTCTCATAAAATTTGCATTCTTCACCAAATTTAATTTGGCATTAAGCATCTGCAATTGATTTTTGCGCAGTTTTCGGCATGCGAGTTAACGGCCGCTCTCGGCAAGCGAATGCGAGGAATGCGAAAGGGGCTTAATAGTACAAGTAACATCGTTATTGCTGGAATTAAAATAATGCAATTTAAGTGTAGGTAATTATTAGTTAGTGCTATTCGCGTGCGTTTTTAATTACAATGTTGAACTTCGATTAAACTTGTTTATTTGTTGGCCTATATTGTCCTCTGTTATTAGGTATACAAAACAATTTCCAAAAATGAGTCGAATGGAGTTTTTCAATTCCAGACTCTATGTTTTATCATGTTAATGGTTTTCTTGTCGGCCTTGGCTTATTTTAGATAAACTGTTAACCTTTTACGAACATAACGGAAAATTTAATGGGGCTGATCATTTTCCCAAGCTAGCTCAGTATTCGACGTATTTGTGGTTGACGTTTACAGCCGCCACGACCGTAAAGGCAATGTTTTACAAAAATATGCGATCTTTTACTCTCGCAACATGTTGCTACAGAGTATAATAGTTTTGTTATAGGTATTGTATCATCTATAATTATTCGAGACAGAGATGAAGTTATATAATTATGAATATAAGTGGTGGCGATATAAATTAAATTTGTTGTCTTCCAAACGACTAAAACTATATTAACTAAATCTGCTCAAAACAAATCCTTTTGGCACCTCCCCCGATAATGTAAAAATTGGTAAAATTGCGAACTCAATAAATGAACTAGTCAGAGACATCAAGTTTTACACCCGAGGTGATATAAAAAGGCTCCATAGGAGCGGTATCAAAATTGTACAATAGGCGTGGCATCATCGCCTCCTTTTATCTGAAATCACACATCAAAGAAAGAATCAAATAATTTCCACACAATATCGCCTACTTTCCATATACAACATTTTGAAATTCCACATGATTATTTCACACTACAGTATATAAAAAAAGTACCACTAAATATCTCGAAACACTCCAAAGTTGTGCCCTTTGGGCATGGCAACCTACGTCACAAAACTCGAAATTGGACCATAATTTTTCAAACCCCCAGATAACAAGTATGTGTGCTTCAGTACCTATAACTGTTATTTTACTGAAAATACAGGTAATTCTTTGGTATATATTGTTGAAATTCAGTCAAATTTGAATTTTTGCTGACAATAGTGTGCCCTTGGGCCAAATCGGTTCAAAACTTCCCGGGGTGTATACCTTATATAAAAATTGTCGAACTTCAGGTTGACTTTATACTGTATATATCTTTCTCTTTCTAAAATCCGTGTATGCTTGTGCTTAAAATAGGTCAAATCGAGTGAGTA